CCATTGTTGTGTATGTTTGTTCGCGCTTGCCTTTAAAATCAACACGTACTGCGCATGTCTACATACCTAACACGAACTACGCACGCGCATGACGTCACCGTTTTCAAAGATTCCCGTATTGGGTGTTTACACGGAAACGATAACGGTGCCGTTTTCAAAAACTTGCACTTTGAAACCCGTTTTCAAAAATATGCGTTTTCAGTCCCCAAAACGACGTTGTTGTGTAAACGAACAGGCAAAACGCAGAAAAAGTTTCCCGTTTTTGGCTGAAAACGTATAAACGGTCCCTTAGATCATTTTAAATCCCAGTCCTACCTGGATCATCCAGCAATGAGGGATCCACTTTTGGTGAGAGGAAAGCAATGAAGAGGTTTAGGTGGTAGATCCCAAGAGCATATGTGACTATGTACCACCCCTAATAAAAGACAGAAGGGTTTCGTTACATTTGATTCACCTTTTGTAATAAAAAATGCAAGAACATTCCCATCAGTCTACAACTGCATGATAACGGTACCCATATTGTCAAAGTACAAATGAATCGGATAAAACAGATGCAAACATTCCTAAACAGCTGCGAGAGTATTATTTCTAAAGCATGGTGTTTTTACCTGTAGTATATATACTCTGAGCATATATATGGCCGTTAGGATAAGAGTGGCCGCCCATCGGACTGCTGAGAACGGTGTTGACTTGTCCAACCATGACTGATAAATCTGCATTTAAAAGAGAAACAGTTCTCATTATCCGAAAACTCAAAATCACTCAAACAGTCATTTCCAAGAGCCTGACCTGCCCGAGCCGTTTAAAGAAGTTTCCGATCGCTGATGGTCTCCCATGGATGGATTCACCGGCACTGTCTCCTTCTGGCATTCTGTCTGTGAATTTAGAGGAACATACTGAGTGTACAGTGAAAACAGGAATATTTTTACATGATGTTTTCATTTTAACAGTTAAATTACAATGCAAACCACTACTACCCATCTACCCAGAAATAACACAATTAGGGACGCACGATATTGGATTTTTGTCAATATGCCGATAATTTTCAACTCATTTTGGCCGATACCGATATATAATTATTTTTAATTTTGGTTAGTTTTTAACAAGAACTTATTTGCTAGAATTAAATAAACAATAATAAAGTTCTTTTATAGTTACAGTACATTGAATATTTAAAAATAACTATAAATAAACTATATATTAATCACTGCATTTCTTTTTCAGAAAGATGCAGTGGTAACCGTAACACTTTATTTTATGATTTAACATTTGTAAATGGTCTAAAGCAAGTTGTAAAATTTCAGAAAATCTTTTAGAGCTCATAATTTATTTTAAAAAATATAACGTATTACACATTAATGAAGAAATCAGTATGAAATTATTTAATTTAAGTGTCATGTTTGTGATTATTGTTTTTTTTTTTGTTCATGTAAGCTATAGCTTCTGACCTTTAAATCGATAAATACTCATGATTTTATGGCATCAATTACTGCTTTATTTAATCAGAAACACAGTCTAAATATTATTTGTGTATTTTGCTTTCATTTTATTAGAAGTAGGCCAACAGCGCCCCCTACAGAATTAAAACTCCTTACTGAGCAGGCGTTAGGACCCATGGGAGGCTACCGCTGCAGTGCTATTACTGTTTACTCTATCACACACTTGAGTGCGTCATTCTGGACATGCATTCTCAGTTTAAATGCAGATCCAAAACAGTGAATCTTAATCACCATTCAGGCAAAATTTTGCTTCAAGAATGAGCCACAATGTATATTATTTGTATGTCAAAAACTACAGTGATTTCAGTGCCGAACCTGCGATTCTTGGTTCAGATACGCGTCTATTTCCTGACGTTTACACCAAACAGGACAGAGCATGCAAATGAACAGTAGCTTTAGCTCCGGTACAGATCTATTCGCAGTCTGTTCTCATTAGAAAACCGGCGAAGCAGACACTTACCTCAAAGTTTATTACATAAACTCCCTGATCTCTTATCGGCAAGACATATCGGCATCATTTTTCATATCGGGCCGATATTTATATTTAAAGCCATTATCGGCCGATTCCGATATTGGTCCGATAATATCGTGCATCCCTCGGATCACTGACCTCACTGTCTGCACAAATCTATTGTATCCCACGGTCTACTAAAGCATGTTTGTCTGTATATTATAACTGCTCTTATAACTCATAATGCTGTTGAACAGCTACGACATCCTAATTTATGTTTCTAAAAGTGTTTTACACTCAAACCGTGGAGAATTATAACTGATGCTTTCATTTCTATGTTGTAGCAAGATTACGCTATTTGAAGCCTCGATATAAATCTTTTTAAACCTTGAAAAATGAGGTGTGAAAACCAAGCTCTCATTTGTGTTATTTTCGTAATGAAGGCAGTGTTTTGAAGCAACTCCTTGTCAAAAACCCTAAAGGAAAATGTAAATCCTCTATTTACACAATTCTATAATCCTTCATACAATTTCTATAAATCCTAATGGGTCATAAAAAAAAGCCCATGACATTTATACAACTTTTTTTCTTTTTCTTTTTTAAACAGAAGTTCAAAATATTTTGTAAAATAAATTGCAGCAATATTGTCTGTGATTTACTATCTTTTAATTGAATTTTACTGTAATATCTCACAGATCAGCTTCACATCACCGACTTGCTCTTTAAGATATTGTCATTGGCCATTAAGAAAACTCATATTAGTCGAGCACTACTTGTTTATTTTTGATAATTTCTACATGTATCTGGATAAAGTCAAGAATTTCACATTGAATGATTGTCTTTAAATGTCCTACAAGAGCATTTGTCCGATCGGTAATCACACTTGTCCTAACAATTTCTTCTGAATCATAGAAGAAGAGACAAAATAGAAAACTGTAGGACTGTTTCAAGAAATGCCAACAAAAATCCAGTTCACATTGCTTAAGGGTTTTTCTTTGGATCAGCTGATTTGCTGTGTGCTGTCAGTGAGTGACACTTCACAGTCGGGGTTATGGGTGGTGTTCAGTTACGTTTGGTGTTTAAAACCCAAACATTTGTTAACTATATGATTCAACCTCGCGCAGATCCTGACATTTTGCCCATTTCCGTCAAATACGAGTGGATTTAATGAAACTGATTTCCTGGTAGTAAAGCAAGGGAAGCCTCCGTGTGCTAACCTACAGATGCGATCTGAGGCAAAGTCCAAAACACAACCGCGTCAATGAACAAGAGGCTGTTCGAGTATAATAATCAGCCTAAATCAAGATCCTTCAATAAAACGGCGCATAAACTGAATGAAGAACCGGTTTGGTTTCCCTGCAAAAGACAGAAGCCTCAAAGCAGCTCATCGGCCTCATCTTTCACTCACTGCTACGCAATCTAATACATCAATCTGGCGAAAAACATGTATATTATTTGTATGTCAAAAACTACAGTGATTTCAGTGCCGAACCTGCGATTCCTGGTTCAGATACGCGTCTATTTCCTGACGTTTACACCAAACAGGACAGAGCATGCAAATGAACAGTAGCTTTAGCTCCGGTACAGATCTATTCGCAGTCTGTTCTCATTAGAAAACCGGCGAAGCAGACACTTACCTCAAAGTTTATTACATAAACTCCCTGATAATGTAACCAAATAACTTGAAGGCTAATAGTCAGACCTCGTAAGCTAATTTGCTATTTAGCATCGGCGGTTAGCCGCAGCTGAGAGGGCGCAATGCATGCTGATTAGTGTAGTTTTTAGAACAGGTCTTCTACGTTAGCACAACATGCGCAGAGGGACTGCGGAGCGTCGGAGCCAGCAGATCGTCCTCCACTGGACTGACCCAGCAGGTTCTGCATGGAGTGAAAACTCTTGGGCACCACGGGTTTGAAGGCAGACGGCCGGACCAGAGCAGAATTATTCTGAACGAGGAAAACACAGCAGGTTCTTACAATAATACATCATTAAACAGCCGTCATTAAGTATCTATCTATCTATCTATCTATCTATCTGTCTGTCTGTCTACCTATCTATCTATCCATCCATCCATCCGTCCGTCCATCTATCTATCTATCTATCTATCTGTCTATCTGTCTGTCTGTCTGTCTGTCTATGTATGTATGTATGTATGTATGTATGTATGTATGTATGTATGTCTGTCTGTCTGTCTGTCTGTCTATCTATCTATCTATCTGTCTGTCTGTCTGTCTGTCTGTCTATCCGTCCGTCTGTCTGTCTATCTATCTATCTATCTGTCTGCTTTTCTAATAGACTGTATGTAT